AATTATATAAAAATATTTTTTATCGGGTTATTTAAAAATTTATAAATTAGTGCTTCAATATTGCAATTAATTAAATAGTTATTAGACGACAATTAGATATCGAAAAATAGTCTTATCGCGATAAGTTATAATACATCAGTTTTCCCTACACGCAATATTTACTGTCACTTGAAAAGTCTTACTTCGTCACTGGTGACTGGAGTAGAAGAGTACGGGAGACGACGCGCGACCCGAAGCGCAGAGTAGCTCGGGATAATCGCTGAGGCAGGCGCACCGCTGGCTTGTGTCCAAGTAGTAGTGCCTCTATCGGCATCAACGAGCAGTATAGTGGCAGAGACTGTACCATCACCTCCACTCAAAAGCAATCGACGGCAATAGATAGTAATAGAAGTACGGTGGTTGAACAATTTACAAGTTTTTCGATTGTTTCACAGCTTCTCTTCTTGTGTCACTCTGTCACTTGACTGATAGCTGCGTGATATATTAGTAACGATGAAGTGATCATTTCTGCCCAGATAACCAAAGGTTTGTTATTTGCCATGTTTTTTTCATATATTTTCTTTGTTCTTTTGTCGAACGTTCTTCGTTATTCAAGTATCCGAATCCTAATACGATATATCCGAGAAGTAAAAATGTCATGCACCCTCGCATTTGTACCCTAACGCGCGCAATTGTGCCATAGCTTAATCGATAAGCACACACAAGGTGTCGATTGCAGCGCCCGGTGGAAAAAGTGATAGTTAGTTTTTAATCTATTTCTATCTATCTGACTATCATCATCAACGTTATCATTGTTGTTGTTGTTGTTATCATTATCGTCATTATTGTCATCACCATCGTCATCAATGACATTATTGTTGTCATCGTAATTATTTCGTCATTGTCATCGCTATCGCCATCGTTGTCGCTATTATTGTCATTCTTGTCGTCATCATCATTGCTGTCGTCATTATCATTGAAAACGTTGTATCGTCATCTTCATTGGTATCGTCGCGCTGGTATTGCCATTGTTTTCGTCATCATATCATTATTGTCATTTTTGTTATTATTCACGTCATCGTCATTATCATTATCATCATCGTTATAGATATCTTCGTTGTCATTACTATCGTTACTATTAATCATCGTTATTATCGCAGACATTGTGACCTTGCCAGGGCAGCATGACGAGATG